GCAACAGAGAAAGGAGTCCTACAAACTTCTTTCAAGGAACTTTGTCCTCTTTTTCAGACCATTTTCAGTTCTAGTTTCTGTGCATGTCATTTCCATTGTTTTAAAAGCAGTAAGGAATGAAACGCTGCTTAAGAGTCCATTTATTTTCTATTTAATACACATTTTCATGGATCTAAAACAGTGTTACTTCTCTTCAAGTATTATCTCTTGATAAGCTTTTAAAGTAAAAAAAAAACCCTTGTACTGCAAGTAACTAGGTTCTATAAATATGATATTATAATTCTATAATAACATGACTCTTCTGAAGTCTGATGTGACTATGGCTACAGTCTTGAACTTATTTCAGGTTTTATTAGGCACAGGCAGCCTTTTTTCTTATTTAGGGCCACAGTAAGGAGTAGACAGCAGCAGAAGAGAAGTGGATGGGAACCCTCATTCTGTTTGACAGATTCTATTTCTTTTTGACACTACTCTCTCATCCTCTGACAACCTTTTCTCTCTCCCAACTTTCAGACTCCAGATGGAAAAAAACTCATCACTGAGATCCAAATTGACCTCTTACAGAAGACTATTAAAATTAGGCCATGAGCCATATGCAGCTTTAGGGCTGCAGGTTGCCCATCTTCGTTCTATACTAATTCATATAATATACTAATATTCAGGTGACATTTCTATGCATATTTACTTCAAAATACTTATTCAGTGGGGATTATTCCCAGTAGGGTTTATATAAAGGATTGCATACCAATTTTATGTAAGTCACTCTGCTCTTTTGCTGATTTCCCCTCTCCTTCCTTGTCAGGAGTTTTAGCTAACTTAGCTGAGAAAGATAAAATTGTAAATACAGGTACTCCTTGCCTATCGACCATTAGTTCAGCGACCATTCAGTTACGAATGCACTGAAAAAGTTACAACCAGTGCCTGAACTTATGGCCGTTGCAGCACCCCCGCAGTCACCTGATCAAAATTTGGGCGCTTGGCAGCCCACCCACACTTATGACTCCAGGGGTACTGCAACTCCCCCCACCCGTCTATCTCTTCCCCATCTATGCCTTTTAGGCACCCTGCTTCCCTGCACTCCACTGCCCCAGCTGACCTTGCCATCTTCTTGCTCCCGCAGCTGTCGAGGTGTGCCCGGCCTGGCGGCTGGGCTGGGCTGGGCTGGGCTGGCTTCAGCTGTGGAAAAAGAAGAAAAAATGCTAAACGCAGCCCCTCAATGGCAGTGTGCCAAAATGCCCCTTTTCGCTGCGCTCCTGGGTGGGGCTGGCACTGGCTTTGGCTGCGGAAAAGGGAAAGGGAAAAAAAAAAACCAAAGCAGTCCCCTGCAAAGAGCTCTTGGGCAGGACTGAGGTCTTTTTTCCCCTGCAGCCAAAGCCCAGCCCGGCAGCCAGGCCGGGCATGCCTCGTCAGCAGCGGGAGCAAGAAGATGGCAAGGTCAGCTGGAGCAGCAGAGCGCAGGGTGGCTGGGGGCCAAAAAGACATAGGTTGGGGGGTGGGACTGGGCTGGAGCAGCTGTGGCTTCCTGGGGCATGGCAAGCAGCCCCAGAGTCACGCAGCGCAGAGATGGGGGGAGATAGGTGGGGGGGAGTTGGAGACAGTTCCTTACCTTACTGAGACTCAGGGCTGGGAGGGACCAAGCCCGGAATGCCTTGGATTGGAGTGGGTCCTTGGCTAATGACTTGTAAATTCACTTAACGACAGCAAGGGGAATTGCCGGGATTGCCATCATTAAGCGAAGTAGTCACATGACATCTCACTTAACACCTGCATCACTTAATGACCTAAATTCCAGTCCCAATTGTGGTTGTTAAGTGAGGAGTACCTATTTATTAATCTGGAATGGGAATTTGGGCTGGTTGGTTTAATCTATAATTTATATTCCATCTTTCAAGTTAAGGTCTCACAAGACAACTAACTTAAGCACTGAAAAAAATTGTGGATCCTGCTGAAATGTCATATTCTTGGCAGCTTATGTCTCTACAAGAATACTGCAGTCCAGTAAGTTTAATTTTACAGGGATATCTGTGCATATCTATGTTATGCGCATGCATTTTATTTAGTAAATACAGGTATAGGTAAGGGTATATAGAATTTCTGAGTCT